CAATTTAAGCATTTGTATGCTTAATTGGAAGAAGTTTTCCCTGAGCCTTAAAGCTTTTTATCTTGGATGAGACTTCTCCGTTCATCGCCTCTTTGCACCTTTTGCTGAAGCTCGCTACCGTTTCAGTTGCTTCATTCCATGGGGGCAAAGTTGCGTAGACCTCTGGAGCAGCAATAAAAAGCTCTGCTATGGCCGCAGTTCTGGCCATGGTGTTTCGGTTAACCCCAATGTGGCGGAAGCATCTGGGCATTGGTTTGCCCAATGCGTGAAGCTTCAGAGCTTTCTTATAGCGGGCAACAATGCCTTTGGGGTTACACACTGTGGAAGATAAACATAAACATCAATCCATAATGATTAAGGAATCATCATATTGCTTTTTCTCCCAAAGAATGCACTAAATGAGATTTTAAATGGGGAAGAGAGACTACAAAAGCTCCATAATAATAACAAATCAGATTTAATATTTAAATTAATGTATTTGTTGGATTTTTTATTATACATATAAAGCTGGATTGAATTAATATATCAAAATAATAAAAAGTAATAAAATGATGTCCCTATGATGACAGATTAATAAATATTCACAGTTTTTCAATCATAGTGTTCATCAAATTTCACCACATTTACCAGTGAGCAATTACAGTGAGCCATTTTTCCCTGGAGCATCTTGGGGTTAAGGGTCTTAAAGGTCCTAACCACTAGACCACCACCAACCCCATAATTCAATACTATGATAATCCAGATACGACTGAAGAGAATTATATAATCTCTATTCCACACCTAGCTAGAAAGCACAATAATGTTTGTGCTTTCTTTTACTCACGTCGTGTTCGACTATAACTTTCAGTTTCTTTCATTTTTATGATCTTCTTTTTCTTGCTTTTCTTGCTTCCTTGCTTCTTCTTTGACTTTTCCTTGGATGTGTCTGATGAATCTGAGAGATCTGATGACTCATCAGATGAACCACCAGATGAAGAGCTGCTGATCTCCATAGCTTTACTTGTGGCTGCACAAAGACACACACATAAATACACAGTGAATATTATTGAAAAAAATACATCTAAATAAAAGAAAATACTAATCAAATATTTTTTATATTTTTGTCCTTCCTAAAACTACACCTTTCAAAAAACCTTACAGACAAATGTCATACAGTTGTTTTAAGATTCTGATTATTCTGATTATTTAATATGTCATGGGAAGTGTAGGTCAAAACATTTATTATGCTGGCTTACCATGGCTTGGTCTAGGAGCAGAACACTGCTGTAATTGCTGTTTCAGGAACTGTTTGTCTTCGTTGAGTTCTTCAATCTGTTTCACCAACATGGCATTTTTTGTTTGCTCATTCTGCAGTTGCAAACGCAACTTCTGCACCTCCAGAGCACCGGTGGGAGAAACAAGTGCTGCAGAGGGTATTCGTGCTGTGACAGGATACAAATCAGCTCAAAGTAAAAGGCTAAAGCGTGTAAAACTTTAAATCAGATCTCTAGATGGATTAAAACCATGATGTAAATACATAATAAATTTCGCACACATACACCACCAGTCAAAAGTTTGGACACACCTGGTTGAATGTGTGTTTCTCAATGTCATTTTGAATTGATGGTGCATGCAGACATGCCAAAAAACATCTAATTTTACCAATATGCAGGTAATAGTCAACTGATTACAAGAAATGAATTTATCTAATTATTTTATAATAAAAACATAATTCTTTTCAAGTACTGAGGTTTACAATAAATGCAGTGTGTTTCCAGAAGCTATATAATTATTTTAAAAATTGTAAGAAATATAAGTTTAGAAATCTGTTACGGAAGGGAGACTTTAGAGAAAAGAGGGGGGGGGTTGATTTTTATTATTTTTATCACAATGCTTCATTTTGTTTTTTGAATGTTTTGATGAGTTTAGCATTTTTAAAAGGTGAAAACCAGTACAAAAAAAATAAGCAGATATGTCCAAACTTTTTACTGGTAATGTACATACATTTATATACAAAATAATTCAAATAAAAATATTACCTATTGCACTTAGTTTTCGTGGTGACGTGCGCCGTGGTGTCAATTGGGCAACATCGGAGATCTTGGGTGGCTCACTATCGGTCTGTACCGTCAGTGGCTTTTTATTTGGTCGTTTGGCCATGTTGAACTGTTTTGGTGACACACGATAATGCTTGGTTAATTTGCTGCTAACAATTCATTTGGTGAAGCACTGGAATGCAGGAAACAATACTTGCACTTTGCTTCAGTATTTATAAGCTGTACAAGTCTACATTAACATTAACATACAAATGCTTGTGTCTTTACTAAACAGATCGTAATGTTTTGTAAAAGAGTTTTAACTATTTAAAATAGTAGCCCTCATGTCTTCTTCAACATACATCGATAACAAAAACCTACTTAAATTAATAGTACTTATTTATTATTAAGAGCTAGGTTAATCGGCTTGCTTGTAAACAAATGCATTAACTAAATTAACTTACTTTTCTCATTAGAGTAACTCGCTTGCTCGTCTTGTGCGCCAATTAAGACTTCCGGTATTCTTTTACGTGCCTAACGTCATCAGCATGAGGCGTTTTCATTTTGCGCGCCACATTTTGCGCGCGTAACGTTATTTCCGTTGTATGCTAGAATCATTAGAAATTAATCGGAGACGTTCGAACAACAAGATGAGGAAAAGTTTAGAATCGGAGCTAAAGAAAACGCTGTCTTCACGCTCAGAACAACGCATTGCTATGTGGATGATGAAACGGGGGCTTTTACAAAGGATATGTAGATGTCAAAAGTGTCATCGGATCATGAAGTTAGAGAAAGTCCCAAGTCCAGATGGCATCAGATGGTAAGCGGGCTTACTTTTGACCTTTATGTATGTATGTGTGTATATTGTGTGTGTGTGTGTATATATATATATATATATACTGTATATATTATTTGTTATATTTTAAATATTATATTTTCTAGGGTTTGCAGACGTGCCCATAAAAAGAAGACAGCATCAGTGCGCTGTAACTCTTTATTTTCACACTCACGCAAGCCTTTAAAAAACTGGCTTCAGTTTATATATAGGTAACTACTACTGTCTACTCATAAAGTTATTATTGGTTTAAGACATATTTGGCGTGTAAAACAGATTTATATATTAAATTATGTTTTTCATTGTCCTCAAGGTTTTCACAGGGTATGAGACTGCGGCACTTGGATCTCATTCAGGATGATGTTGCCAAGAGTTCAAGGACACTAACAAATATGACCAGAAAACTGAGGAAGGTCTCATATTTCAGTAATTCATACAAAATCTGTACACAGTGGATTATTTGATATAATTAGTATAGTATATGCAAGTCTTTCTTGCTTTGTCCTTTAGATGTGCTTAAAAGGCTTAAGCCGACTACAAGCAAGAGGCATGACTATTGGAGGTCCTCAACACTTTGTCATTATAGATGAAAGTAAATTTGCCCACAAAAGAAAGGTACACTGTTCAACAAAGTGAAACAAAGCTACGTCATTTGGACAGAGAATACGTAGAATTGTTCTGATTTTCAGAATTCCAAAGTAATGCAGTTTTAAACTGTTTTCAGAGTTATATTCTTGCCTATCCAGTGCTAAAATCTAAAATTAATATTGTTTCTATTTCAGTACAATAGAGGAAGATGTGGGAACACCTGGCCTCGGATGCGCACATGGGTGTTTGGCATGTTGGAAGTTGGAGGCACAAGGCGACGGCCAATCCTAAAGCTGCTTCACAAGCAGTCCAGGCATCACCTTCTACCAATTATACGCCAGTATGTCAAGCCTGGTAGCTGTATTATCAGCGATGAGTGGCGGGCCTACAGGGATGTACTCGTGCAATATGGGTATAA